CCAGGAACTAAACATTGTTCCCGGGCCAACACACATCGGAGCTCCTGTCCCCCACCGCAGGCAGTGCGGAGTCGCAATGGTGGCAGGGGCGGATGGAAGTCGGGCAGACCTGTCTGTGAATCGTAAATCGAAAGCTTACAGATTTAACCTGTGAGCCGCAGTCCAACCAGCTGGCCAGCGGGGGCAACTGGAGCTAACTTCAGCCAGCTGTGGAGAGGGCACGGGGCAGACAAGGCCAAAGCCAAATCCCTGACCCTGGAGGAGCCCAAGGGAGCGAGGAGAGACTGACAGGTCGTGGACACACTCGTCCAGCTGATAAAAGACATTCACATCGCTGCTGAGGGAAAACACTGACTGTATTGGGGTTCTCCAGAGCGATCAAACCCATAGACTACATGAACGGTCTTCAACAAGTTCATGGGAACGGCACAGTACTCGTTACTTCCATTCGCACAAACTTTTTTTTTTTTTTTTTTTTTTTTTTTTTTTTTGACAGGCAGAGTGGACAGTGAGAGAGAGACAGAGAGAAAGGTCTTCCTTTTCCATTGGTTCATCCCCCAATGGCCGCTGCAGCCGGCGCACCACGCTGATCCGAAGCCAGGAGCCAGGTGCTTTTCCTGGTCTCCCATGCGGGTGCAGGGCCCAAGCACTTGGGCCATCCTCCACTGCCTTCCCAGGCCACAGCAGAGAGCTGGACAGGAAGAGGCGCAACCGGGACAGAATCCAGCGCCCCTACTGGAACTAGAACCCGGGGTGCTGGCGCCACAGGCAGAGGATTAGCCTATTGAGCCGGGGTGCCGGCCCAAACTTTTCAAAATACCTTCATATATATCCTTTAGAATACACACACAACACACGAATGTGTGTCTATCTATCTACCTTTATCTGTATCTCTATCTATCTATCTATCTGTCTATTTATCGAGAGAAGGAGATTATAAGGAACTGGATCGCACAGTCACGGAGGTATCCAAGGACAGCTGCCCTTCCAGTTCCAGTGTGCAGGCCATCAGCTGCCGACCCAGGGAGACCCTGGCTGCGGACCAGGCTGACAGCTGCAGAAGTCTCTCTTGCTCAGAGGCGACCAGCCTTCTTGCTGGAGCCGGCCCTTCGGCGGGTTGGATACAGCCCACCCACATGAGGGAGGGCCATCTGCTTACGCAGAGTCCCCTGACAGCAACGTGAGTCTCTCGAAACTCTCTCCCAGAAGCACCCAGCACCCTGCTTGACCGAATATCTGGGCGCGGTGACCCAGCCGAAGGGGCACATGGGAGTGCCCATTGCATGGAATAAAGGAAGTCCGGCTTGGACCTGGGGGTCCTGGGGGGGCTTTCCAGGTTCGGCTGCCTGTGCTGTCCTCGGATCCCTGCCTCCACAGGTTCTCGTCAGCACCTATGGGTGAGGAGTGCAGATAGCTCCTTAACCGTCCCCAGCATGGAGGCGCTGATGATAATTCTGTGGGACATTGTGGGGGGTGGGGGGCCCCCACTTGCTTTTATTGGAGGCAGGGTGGAGGTCAGGGGAACAGGGAGCAGCTGCGGGTGGCAGCTGGGGGCAGATGAACCACCGAGTCAGCTCACCCGGGAACACCCTGCAAGCAGCCGTGCTGCCGGCCCTCAGCTCTACTGACAACGATTCAAGGCAGAAGCCTTCACTCACAAGGCGCGAAGGGTCCTAGAGGCAAAACAGCCACCTCTCAGTCCCCCAGTGCCCCACCCCCGAGCAGAGGGAAAGGGGCGGGCAGACTCTGCTCGCTGCACACTGGCTAGAGGCCGCCGGAGTGGCAGCTCCCTCAGCATCCACCAGGAGATGTGGGATTCTTCCTAGGGGTCACGGGGACAGGAAACTGAGGTTCCAAGAACATCAAGGTGCCGGTGGCCAAATCACAAACGGCAGGGCTGGGATTTGGGATCTTGTGGCTCTAGCTCAGTGTGTGCTCCCTCCTGTTCATACCAGGTAATTTAGAAAAAAAAAAAAACAACAACAAGAACCTCAAATGAATGAGGCAGTAACTTCGCTGGGGCCTCTTTGTCCATTTCCTGGAGATCTCGGACGGGACGTGTGACACGCTGCTTAGGTACGTGGACACACCCCTGGAGGACACGCGGTGGTCGGATCCTCTCTGGGATCCGAGGAGGGGCCAGGAGGAGGCCGCTGCGGCCTCCAGCACCCAGTCCTGGATCGGGGTCTGCTGTGCCACTCCCGGCTGTGTGACCTGGGCCACAGTTCCCATGCCTCAGCTGCCTTACCTGTGACCTGGTGACCGTCATGGGCCTGTCTTGGCGTGGCAGTTGCCAGATCAAATGAGGTCATCTTTGCCGAAGACTCAGGGGAGCGCTGTTTGCGTGCCATGGCTCCACGCGTGTTAACGCTGTCTGGGACCCGGGACCGCCTCACCCTCCCGCCTAAGTTCCTTTGGGGACAGACGCCTTTTGACCCCCGGAACCTCCCAAAACGCTGCATCCCCGTTTCAAGGCAGCTTCCGCCCATGATTCCGGAAGGTCACGGCTGTCGGAGGAGCAGGCGCTGAGTCAGTATTTGATGGGACGACAGCGGAGATGTCAGGGACCACGGTACAGAGCCGACAAGGTCAGCCCAGCTTTCTGACAGAGCGTGGGGCCCCCTCCTCCCTACCACAGAGGTTCAGTCCCCCGGCCACGCCCTCTCAAGGGTCTCTGCCCACCCCACCCCCCCTTGCCTGGGACTGTCTCTGATTTTGGCAAGCTTGAAACCTGTGGGTCATAGAGAAGGCATTTTATCTGAACTTCCCCCTGCAAACCCTGCGCACAGGGATCTCTCAGTGTCCTGCTCCACCCCAGCCCACAGGGCCATAAACACTCGTGTGTCTGCAGTCCCAGCCCCGGGGATTCCAGAAATAACAGCAGGGCCCTGCAGCGGGAGGCTGGGAGACAGAAAGACATTTCTACCGGAGGACACAGGCCCCTTCCAACCCCGGGCCGCCCCTGCCCAGCAGAGCACAAAGCGACCTTCAGCAGTCGGGACAGGGAGGGGCAGCCGGGAGGCAGCCTCCCCCCACCTGCCCCTGCTCTCGGACCCTCCCCTGTAGGAGAGCCTCTTGGATTCCTTCCCACCTGCGGTGTCCTTGACCACCGCCCGCCCCCTGGGCGTCCTGGAGCGGGGGTCCCAGCAGCTCCGGGAGCCTACGTTCACGGGAGGAAGCTGCAGAAGCAGCCCCCTCCCCAGCCCAGCCGCACAGCCACCGTGGGTGGAGCGCGGGGGACTGGGCGGTGCCGGGGGGAGGGGACGGGTTAAAGGGACTCCCTTCCAGAAGCGCGGTCCCCACGAGGAGAAAAATCAGGAGTGGACACGCGGGAGCGAGTTTTAGTTCTGCAAAAATAAGGAGCGCGGGCACCGAAGACGACGATGTGGGAAACACGAATAACCCGGTGGGGGGTGGGGGGACCACGAACACTGCTGGGCGCAGGCAGGGGCGTCCCGGCCCTAGCTGCGCGCCCAGGGCATCTCCCACTTTCTTATAAAGACGATCCCCCGCCCGGGGCCGCCGGGATCCCCGCCTGCCTGCCAGCACGGGGGTTCGGGGTGCCCGTCTGGAAACCCCAGCTGCTCCTGCACTAGCCGCTTCCTCCAGGAGCCAACTCCCCTTTCCGATGGGGATGGGATTCTCTCTAATTCGCAGCCCTGATGGCGACGTCATTAGAAAGGCTGGGCTGCGCCGTCGCGAGCTCCAAACCTTTGTCACAGACAGGGCGGTGGAGGAAAGGCCGGGGCGTGCGCCGGCACAGGGCAGAGCCGGCCGCCCGCCGAGCTCCGGCCTCCAGTCCGGGCCGGCCGGGCGCCCCGCACCCTGCCGCGGGGGTCGCGGGGGTCGCGCGCGCCGCGCCCAGGGGCGCCGGGGCGGCGGGGAGGAGAGGCGAGTGGGTAACAGCATCGCCATGGCAACAGTGACGTCCTTGTACCCTGGATCTAATTGGAGGAAACCCCGTGGCCGAAGCCGCAGCCTGCCGGCCAACCGAGCTTGCCCAAGCCGACCCACCCTCCGAGCCGCCGCGTCGCCTCTCGTCCCGCCCCTCGCGCCCCCTTCCGCGCGCTCAGCCCTCATTGGCCAGCCGCGGGGCGGGAGGCGGGACCCTCCCGGGAGGCTCGGCGCGCCATTGGGCGGCGGCCCGCCGCTCGGCCGCGGGGTAGGCTGAGACGGGAGGGTCCTCGGCTAAAGCCCAAGGCAGATCAAAGTGGTGGGACTCGCGTCGCGGCCGCCGAGACGTGAAGGTGAGCTCCGGAGGCGGCCCGCGGGCCTGCTGCGGCCGCGCGGGGGCCCGTGGGGCCGGGCTGGGGGGCGCGGCGCCGGGGGCGGCCGTCTGCCGGCGCCGTGCTCCCTCAGGGACGGCTCCCGGCGGCGCGGTGCGGGGCCAACGGCCGCTTCCATCTTGGGGCGCGCGCGTGGCGGGAGCGGCCCTCCCGCGGCCCCCGGCGCGCTGCCCTCCCGCCGCGGGCCCGGGCGCGGGGCGGCTGCGGGCGGCGGGCGCCCGGCGCGGGCGGGGGGCGAGGGCCACGCACGCGGGCGGCGGGCGCGGGCAGACAAAAGCGGGCGGCGGGGCGGCGGGCCGCATTGTCTGACGCGCTGCCCGCCCTCCTTTTTGTCCTCGGCCCGCCGCCCCGCCCCGCCCCGCGCAGCCCTCGCGGAGGCCCTCGTCGCGACCCGCTCGTGCTCGGCGCCCGCCATGGAGAAGACGGAGCTGATCCAGAAGGCCAAGCTGGCCGAGCAGGCCGAGCGCTACGACGACATGGCCACCTGCATGAAGGCCGTGACGGAGCAGGGCGCCGAGCTGTCCAACGAGGAGCGCAACCTGCTCTCGGTGGCCTACAAGAACGTGGTCGGGGGCCGCCGGTCCGCCTGGAGGGTCATCTCGAGCATCGAGCAGAAGACCGACACGTCGGACAAGAAGCTGCAGCTCATCAGAGACTACCGGGAGAAGGTGGAGTCGGAGCTGCGGGCCATCTGCACCACGGTGCTGGTGAGTGGGGCGGGGGCGGGCCGGAGGAGCCCCGCGCGCTCCCTTTGTGCGTGGAGGGGCGGGCCCTGAGCAGGTGGGACGAGGCGGACACTTCGCTTTCCCGAGTGGGAGCGGCGGGCGGTTGGTGCACGCGACGTGGGCTCAGGCTGGTGGCTGTCGTCGCCGTCGCCTCGCGGTCCCCAGACGCTGGCGCGTGCCCCCGGGCTCGCTTCTGGTGCTTTCCAGGTTCTGGACTGCCCAGGGTCAGGGCGGCTGCCGGGAGGAGTGGGTGGCCCCGGTGATTCACCGTTACTAGCGAGAGCGGACAGTTTTAGCTTTGTCATGGCGAAACGCTTTCTGATCCGGGAGATAAGTGTGCAGTGCTGGCATTGTGTCCCGGAGTGTCGCCTGCCCCTCTCGGGCCGCTTTGACAAGAGCCTTGCCGGCCTTGCACGTGTTTGTTCCACAGCGTGTTTAGGGGGCTGGGTCGGGATTTTTCAAAAGGGCGTAGAAGAAAAAAATTTTTTTGCCTGTTACATCTCCATCCATCAGACTGTTTCCTTCTCCACCCTAGGAAAAAAAATATTTCTTTTTTAAACCCATCTTTTTCTCCTATAAATGACAGATAACATAAACAAAGTCCTGTCTGATGGAAATAGCTAATAATTGGGGGCAGTACAGAGTGCACTGAAGTGGGGAGAACTGTGGGGATTGTTTGCTTTAGGAAGGCGAGACTGCCCACTTCGTCCGCGCGTCCTTAGCCTGTAGCTCCTGCTGGGCATAAGGGAAGATGTGAACGCTCTGTGTCGAGTGAGTTTGCCAGCTTAGTAGGGCTGGGAGACTTCACTTCCACACACGTAGTGGCTATGGAGGGCATCGTCTGCTCCATTTCTCAAGTTTCCTGTGCGTGTTTCAGGCACCCTCACAGCAGCTTTCAAACTCTTTCTGTTCGGTTATTACTTTGCCATGTGTTAGTTACCCTGCCACAACTCAGAATTAGCCCTAGGTTCTTCCTGTTCTCTAGCCAGTTAGCTCTGAGCCAAAGAAATGTTTGTTTTATTTTATGGCTGTCAACGAATTTTGGGTAAGTGGAGGGGACTTGGCTGAATCGGTAGTGGCTTCAGTGAGGCCAGGTTTCTCAGGCAGATGGTTCATGGGAGAGAACTCTGAAATAAGGACATTCTTTTTAAATGCTGTGAGGAAATAAGAGTTTAGCCTGATTGATGAGACACTAATGCGTAAGTAAAACATTTTATTAGTAACGTGGTTTAAGAGACTAATTTCAGCTTGATGGCCCGTCTAAAAAATACCCTGGGAAAACACATTTCTGAGTTGGCAGCCATAAACGAGAGCTTCCTGTGTGCAGTGTGAACGGGCCAAGAGCCGTGGCTTTGCCCTCCTGTAATGTGTAGTCCAGGTGCGTGTGAGAAATTCCCAAATGTCCAGAATGCAAGGTGATTCCCAAAGATGGTTGTGAGCAGAATGCTGGGCGCGTTGAAGGAAACAAGCCTCTAGGAAGGCTCACTGAAAATCGTGGCTTTTGGGTTGAGCATTGGGCGGGGTGTGTGTGTGTGTGTGTGTGTGTGTGTGAGTATCCCAAGCTGAGGAAATACACAGAATAGTAGGGCCGGCGTGGGGGAAGCAGGCTTCAGTGTGCAGAGCTGTTGGAGCAGAGAACCTGGAAGATGGGCACTGTGGTCTGTAAGAGTTGGTAGTGAGGGGTTCCTCTTTGGGTGGAGTAGGGACACGGTGAGGGGTTTTGAGTGGTGTGCATGTGGCAGCATCCAGGATTCGTGCTTGGAGTCCAGCCAGTCCAGTCTTTCAGACAACGGAGTGATGTATCGGGCTTGTGAACACGAGTAATGATTGACATATTGGTAGTTGGATAAGGAGTCTGTTGAAATAATGAAAGAAGAGGTACATTTAAAGTTTCTAAACATGCATGTTAAAACAAGGTTTTCTTCTCTGTTAGAAAGGCAGGAGAATTCGGTGAAGGCAGTAGGTACAGCGGACTTCATTGCAGAGGGCTGTAGAGCAGAGTGACCTTGAAGGACAGCCAGACATTTTATCCAAGATGGCAGAGTCCCTCCACCTCCTCTTTGCTTGTCGTAGAGTGTATTGGGGCACAGACAGCTGTACTGTTCAGTGCACAGAATACTCCACGGTGGTCACCCCTGACTCCTGAAGACTACTGCATTGAGTTACTGAACCGCAGAAGCATAGAAAAAAGGTTTAAATCCAAGTGAGTGCTCTTTAGAGAGAAAAGAGGCTAAGAGGGCCAAAGAAGACGAAAGCGAACTCTGAGTGGAGCTCCGGGAGAGGTTAGAGCAGATTCACCAACTTGTCTGTCCCTCAGTCTCATTTGAAAAACTGGGAGTTGGAGTAAAATTTTCTTTTTCTTTCTTTTTTTTTAGATTTATTTGAGAGGCAGAGAGAGAGAGAAAGTCCTTCCATTTGCTGGTTCACTCCCCAGATGGCCACAATGGCCAGAGCTGTGCCGATCAGGAGCCAGGAGCTTCCTCTGGGTCTCCCAAGCGGATGCAGGGTCCCTAGGACTTGGGCCATCTTCTGCTGCTTTCCCAGGCCAGAGCAGAGAGCTGGGTCATAAAGCACCAGGACTTGAACTGGTGCCCACTTGGGATGCTGGCACTGCAGGTGGCGGCTGTACCCGCTATACCATAGCACCGGCCCCTGGAATGAAAATTTCTGGGTCTGTTCAGGTTGAAGAATGTGTTGTTGTCAAGTGATACATGAATTGTTGAAAAGCTGGTGGTATTAGTGAAATGAAGGCCTCAGGAGTCGTGTGTGATCCTACTGAGTGCTGCTGGGAGGAGCAGAGCTATCACTGGGCAGTATCAAATGGCCTGGGTAAGGTGTCTGGGAGAATTAAGTACTGGGCTGTGAAGAAATGGCAAATTGGAGAAATCACAGGGCTTCTATAAACCCCCTGGGATGTTTGGGAACAGTGTATCTCTTTTTAAAAATTAGTTAATTTGAAAGGCCAGGAGAGATCTTCCATCCACTGGTTCGTTCCCCAAATGGCCGCAAAAGCCAGGTCTGGGCCAGACTGGAAACAGGAGCCAGGAACTTCGTCCTAGTCTCTCATGAATGGACGGGGCCCAGGTGCTCAGGCCATCCTCTGCCTTCCCATGCATATTGGCAGGAAGCTGGATCTGAAGTGGAGCAGTCACTGCCACCACAAAGCTGCCCCAAATGTATTGTTTACAGAGTGACCTTGAACCAGACACTGTTTAAGATCACTTCTGTAAACGCCGTAGGCTAACAGATACCTGTCCTGGGGGCAGCATCATGGCATAGCAGGTAAAGCTGCCACCTGCAATGCGGGCATCCCATTTGGACGATGATTTGAGTCCTGGCTGCTCCACCTCCCATCCAGCTCCCTGCTAGTGGCCTGGGAAAGCAGCCAAAGATGGCTTAAGTGTTTGGGCCCCTGCCATGTGGGAGACCCAAAAGAAGCTCCTGGCTTCTGGCTTCGGTCTGGCCCCAGCTCTGGCCACTGTGGCCATCTGAGGAGTGAGCTAGTGGATGGAAGATCTCTTTCTATCTCTCCAACTCTTTCAAATAAAAAAATAAATCTTAAAAAATGGTAGCTGTCCTAAAGACTAATTTTAGTAGACTGCTTTGGTATAATTTCAGAAACGGAAATCTATATTACAGTAAGTAATATAAAGTAAGTCACTTAATATATTATGTAGAGAATCTCTGACAGTTGTCTCTGGCTGTATAAAGCTTTTGCCTTCCCTTTTTCTGCCTTTCTGCCCCTCAAAATAAATAGATAAATAAATGTAGCGGCCCTTGAGCACCTTTGTTGTATAAATTATAGATAATCACATTATTAGACATTAAAACTATTCACTTATAATTCACTTTGAATAATTAATAAACAGAATAATAAAGCCATAAGGAATGGATGTTTTTAAATATTTATTTTGTTTGAAAAGCAGAAAGAGAGACACCTTCCATCTGCTGATTCACTCCCAGAATCCCTCCAACACTCAGAGCTGGGCCAGATCCAAGCTAGGAGCCTGGTACTCTTTCTAGGTCTCCCACATGTGTGACAAGGACCCAAGTAGTTGAGCCATCACCTGCTACTACCCAGGTTACATTAGCAAGAAGCTGGAATTAGAAGCAGAGTTGGGACTCAAACCCAGGCCGTGTCAACCAGTGCACCAGATGCCCGCTGTGTGTGTTTTAACTGAAATACATAAAAGTGCACTGTGTGAGTGTGCAGTTCTTGGGCGTTAGATGCATTTACATTGTGTGCAGCGTCACCTCCTATCCCCAGGACATTTTCAGCTCTCCCAGCTGAAACGCTATAACCATTAAACCTCAGTTCTTTCCTCAGCCTCTGCCAACAACCATTTTTTTCATTTATTTTAGTGTATTCATTTTTACTTATTTGAAAAGCAGAGAAAGATCTTCCATCTGCTGATTCACTCCCGAACTCCCACGACCGCCAGAGCACCCAGCTACTTGAGCCATCATCCGCTGGCTTCCCGGGGTGAGCATTAGCGAGCCGGAAGGGCTCCATTCTAGGTCCTCCAAGTCTCTCCTCAACCCTCAGTGCCACAGGGCGTGGCCTCACCATTCTGCTCTCTGCTTCATGAATGTGACTGCTGTAGGGAGCTCATCTAAGTGAATTGATAACATTGTTTAGGTTAAGAATGGACTCAAAATTAAGACTAGTGGCATTGTTTTACTTTATTGCAGTATCACATTTCTTGTAGTTTCTAGGACGCTGGTGAGTGACAGTGGGGGAAATAAGCAGAAAGCATCATCCTAGGTGGTTTGACTTTGTGCTCCTGTCCTTTGCCACACACAAGTGGAGAAACCGAAAGAGGTCCCCTGACCACACTTTGGAAACTGCTGCTCTGTGGGAATTCATTGCGGCGCTCAGTGATTGAGCCGTTCGTTTTCTGAGTAGTCAGCGGGGTAGCAGTAACGAGATTTGTGAAACATTCCCCTCTCTTCTCATGCCTCCACCTCTTTACCTTCCACGTTAACCTAGGAAAATAAGTTTGTAAACCAGAAAAGAAAGGAAAGGTTTTTTTCCTCTCAACTTTAAAGATTGAGTAAAAGGGGCCAGCACTGTGGCGCAGTGGGTTAACGCCCTGGCCTGAAGTGCCAGCATCCCATATGGGCGCCAGTTCGAGACCCGGCTGCTTCACGTCCGATCCAGCTCTCTGCTATGGCCTGGGAAAGCAGCAGAAGATAGTCCAAGTCCTTGGGCCTCTGCACCCATGTGGGTGACCCAGAAGAAGCTCCTGGCTTCAGATCGGCACAGCTGCAGCTGTTGCAGCCAGTTGGGGGGTGAACCATCAGGTGGAAGACCTCTCTGTCTCTCTGTCTGTGTCTCTCTCTCCCTCTCTCTCTGCCTCGCCTCTCTCTGTGTAACTCTGACTTGCAAATAAATAAATTAATTAAATAAATCTTTTTTAAAAAATTGAGTAATAAATATTGCAGTTAATTCCTGCAACAATAACTAGACCTGGTGGCATGTGGGAACTGCTTCTGCTCCCTTGTATTGGGAATGGTGATGTAAGTTAGTATTTTCTCCCCTTGCCCCCCACCCAGGCAGAAAGCAGAGTTGGCACGCGTGGAATATATGCAGAGTAGTCTTTCAGAGTTGGTTGCATTTAGATTTGAAAACTAGACAACTTTGGGAAGCAGTAAGTCTTCCGCCCGCTGATTCTCTCCCCAGATGGCTGCTGCTGCTGGGCTGAAGTCAGGAGCTAGGAGCTTCCTCTGTGTCTCCCATGTGGGTGGCAGGGGCCCAAACACTTGGGCCATGTTTCCCTTCTTTCCCAGGCACATTAGCAGGGGTCTGAATTGAAAGTGGAGCAGCCCAGACTCACACTGGTGCTCATGTGAGATGCCATTGTTGCAGATGGCAGCTTAACCTGCTGTGCCACCCCTCTTTTACAACAGTTTGCTTTGGGATAATGAGATACTAATGAGTTCTGTGCTGTAGCCTTAGTTTACTGACTTTTGAGCTTTGAGCACCCTCTTCTTACATTGGCTGCACACTTCACTTAGGAAAGACGGAGAAGCAGTGGTGCAAGTGGTGAAACCACAGTGGTAAAGACTTCTGTAACTGTGTTTGCTTAAAGGCCAGTCATGGCTGCTGTTTGTAGGTATGTAGAAAGAAGATCAGTGGGAGAGGGAGCGAGAAACCAGTAAACCATAGTAGTGATCTTCAGGTTAGACCTCTTACTGTCCTGCTAAGTCCTACTTTGACTTGTGTAGAATCAGAATTCCCATTTTCCTCTTATTTTGCTCATTCCTTCAGACATTACTTGAATACAGCTCAGAATGTTTGCTCTTTAAGAACTGCGTGTTTATATTAGGTGGTCTGATCTTCAGCCTGGTACACATGAAGTTATTTGGGGGATATGTGTGCTTAGTGCCAGTCAACTTTCTGTCTCACACCAGTTTGCTTATTTGGAATGCTGTGGTTTAAACATGATCAGACTCGCATATGCTCACTCTCTCTAACTCTTGACTTTCAAATAAAGAAATCTTTTTTAACAAAGCGGGGGTGGTTGGTGCTGGCGCGTGGCATTGGCAGGTAAAGCCACCTGCAACGCCAGCATCCCATATGGGTGCTGGTTTGTGTCCTGGCTGCTCCACTTCCGATCCAGCTCCCTGCTAATGGCCTGGGAAAAGCAGCTGGAGACATCCAAGTACTTAGGCCCCTGCCATGCACATGGGAGGCCCAGATGAGTTCCCAGCTCCTGGCTTCAGCCTGGCTCAACCCTGGCCACTGTGGCCATCTGTGGAGGGAATCGGCAGGTGGAAGATCTCTCTCTGGCTTGCTCTCTGTACCTGTGACTTTGGGAGCTCCCCAACTCGAGCAGACACGTGAACCCTGAAGTCTTAAATAAAAGAGGTGTGAGGGAGGGAAGTGGAAACACAGTCCACTTACGACTGAAGGCAGGGCCCTGGGAAGGTGATTGATCGGGCTGCTGGGGTGGAGCTCCTGATGGCTCTATGGGGAAGTCACGTGAGGGAGCTGGCTCCCTTTCTGCGGCTGCCTGGCTTTCCGTGTGATTGTTTCTTTGCACCTGCTCTGCCTATGCTAGCCTGCACCTTTGTCAGTGACCAGACCAGTACGGTCATGCGGTCTTAGACTGTGAACTCCAGAACTGAGAAGTCAACCCTTGACAAGTAGCTTTTCTCCGTTATGTTATAGTGATGAGAAGCTCGGTCACTGGACACTCACAATGGAATCACAGTATGTGGCCTTTTCACTAGCACCTTTCCAAGGCTCACTCATTTCGTGGCATTTGTCAGTGTTTCACTTCTGTTTGCTTTTTAAAATGAAACTTACATTGTGCTTAGTTAAAATATGCCATCTTACTCCCACCTGCTAGTTCATTCCCAGATGCCCACAACAGCTGGGGGGCAGGCTAAAGCCAGGAACTGGGAACTCAGTTCAGGTGGCTCACATGGATGGAAAGAATCCGCCAGTGCTGCCTCCCAGGGTCTGCACCGGTGGGACACTGGGATTGGGAGCTGGCACTGGGTCTCAAACCCGCAGGCTCTGATACGGGAAGTAGGCATCTAAACTGGGATCTTAACCTGTAGACTAAATGCCCACCCCTGCCTTGACCATTTTTAAGGGCACAGTTCAGTGATTCCAGGTACACTCATATTGTACAACCATCACCACCAGAGTTCATCTTCCCAGACTCAGACTCCACACCTGTTAAAAAGAGTGTTAAAAAGAGTGGCTCTCGGTTTCCTCTTGACAGCCAGCACTGTGCTTTCTGTCTCAGTGGCTCATACAGGAGTCATCATTTTGTTATCTGGCTGCTTTTTTATCTACATTGTGCTATGCATCTGAATATTGTGCTTGAGTGTACCACATGGTTCATCCACGTGTCCATTAGTGCAGTTTAGGTTGATCCCACCTGTAGGTTAAGAGTAACGCATGGGTGGTTGTTTCGCCTGCTGGGTAAGATGCTGATTGGATGCCCCATAGAGTGCCTGGGTTCAAGTCCTAGCTCCACTGCCAGTTAAGGTTCCTGCTAGTGCATACTCTGGGAGGCAGCAGGTAATGAATGACTCAAGTCCTTGGGTCCTTTTAAGATTTTATTTATTTATTTGAGAGGTAGAGTTATAGACAGAGGCAGACAGAGAGAAGTCTTCTATCCGTTGGTTCACTTCACAAATGGCTGCAATGGCAGGAGCTGGGCCGATCCGAAGCAGGGGCTTTTTCTGGGTCTCCCACCCAGGTAGGTGCTTTCCCAGGCCATAGCAGAGAGCTGGATCAGAAAAGGAGCAGCTGGAACACAAACCGGTGCCCAACATGGGATGCTGGCACCACAGGTAGAGGCTCAGTCTCCTATGCCACAGCACTGCCCCTCTGAAATAAAATTTTTTTAAAGATTTATTTATTTATTTGAAAATCAGAGTTACACAGAGGAGAGGCAGAAAGAGAGAGAGGTCTTCTATCTGCTGGTTCACTCCCCAATTGGGTGCAAAGGCTCTGAAATAAATTTAAAAATAAATTTTTTTTTTTTTTTTTGACAGGCAGAGTGGACAGTGAGAGAGAGACAGAGAGAAAGGTCTTCCTTTGCCGTTGGTTCACCCTCCAATGGCTGCCGCGGCCGGTGTGCTGTGGCCGGCGCACCACGCTGATCCGATGGCAGGAGCCAGGTGCTTCTCCTGGTCTCCCATGGGGTGCAGGGCCCAACTACTTGGGCCATCCTCCACTGTACTCCCTGGCCACAGCAGAAAGCTAGCCTGGAAGAGGGGCAACCAGGACAGAAGCCGGCGCCCCGACCCGGACTAGAACCCGGTGTGCTGGCGCCGCAAGGCAGAGGATTAGCCTAGTGAGCTGCGGCGCCGGCCTAAAAATAAATTTTAAAGATGAGATTTTTGTGTTTTGTGTTTGTTTTTTATATTGATGATTGATTGATTGATTTGAAAGGCAGCGTTGCAGAGAGATCTTCTGTCCTCTGATTCACTCCCCAAATGGCCACAACAGCCAGGACTGGCCTAGGCCAAAGCTAGGAGCCAGGAATTCCATCCACGTGAGTGGCAGGGGCCCAAGGCATTGGGCCATCGTCTGCTGCCTTCCCAGGCACAGTAGCAGAGAGCAGGACTAGGAGTGGAACAGCTGGAACTGAACCAGCTCTCCAATATAAGGTGCTGGTATTGCAAGCAGTAGCTTAGCCTGCTGTACTACAATGCTAGCCCCTACAGATTTTTGTGTGAACATTTTTGCTATTCTCTTGGATAACTACCTGGGGCATATGGTAATTCTGTTTAATAGTAACTCTGAGTTAGATACCCCCACATATTCAACAATCCTAGTGAGTGTGAATGGGATCTGATTACATTTGTGATTGCGTCTCCTGGGTGAATACAGGATGTTGAGCGTATTTTCATGTGCTTATTTGGAGAGATGTCTACTCAGGTCCTCCCCCCCCCCCCACCCCAAGATTTACTTATTTGAAAAGCAGAGTGACAGAAAGGAGAGACAGAGACAGAGATCTTCCATCTGTTGGTTCCTTCCCCAAATGGCTGCAAAAAGCAGCTAGCTCTGGGCCAGGCTGAAGCCAGAATCCAGGAACTTCATCCTGGTCTCTCTCACACATGGGCGCCAGAGCCCAGTACTTGGGCCATCTCGTGATGCCTTCCCAGATGTACTAACTGGGAGCTAGATAGGAAGGAGAGCAACCAGGACTCAAAAACCATTGCTCCGATATGGGATACTGGTGTCACAAGTGGTAGCTTAACCTACTGCTCCACAATGCTGGCCTCAAGCCATATTCTATCTTTAGTAGTCTTAATAGGATAGTGCAAAACTTGACCCGTATATACTAAACTAGCAAGGCAATTTTGACCTGCTTTTAATTAATAGAATATCTTTCTGTTAGGCATCAGTACTTTCATCTGCTGGTTTGATTGCTTATGACCAGACCAAACCAGGATTTAACTTCCTGTTCTTTTCTGTGCTCCAGCTTTTTTTTTTTTTTTTTTTAAAGATCTATTTATTTATTTTATTATTATTTTTTTTGGAAAGCCAGAGTGACAGAGATCTTCATCTGCTGGTTCACTCCCCAAGTGGGAATGAATTGCCAGAGTTGGGCTGATCAGGAGCTTCTTCTGGGTCTCCCATGTGGGTACAAGGGCCAGGTACTCAGGCCATGTTCTGTTGCTTTCCCACACACATTAACAGGGAGCTGGATCAGAAATGGCACAGCTGGGACTTGAACAGGCACCCATATGGGATGCCGGCGCCACAGGTGGTGGCTTAACCCGGTGTGCCACAGCGCCGACCCCTTCTGTCCCCTTTTTAAGGAAAATACTTGCCTAGTACCATTTACCTTTCCCTTCAGAAACTAGCAACTAAGTCGGCTTCTTGATTTAGTAAATTACAAGTTTTCAAGGAAAGAAAGTATATGTATTGATGTTTGTCTTGGTTCTTTTGATAACACCAATATAAAAATGTTGGTGAATGTTGTATAATGTAACAGTTTTAAATATAGGTTGGGGGGGCCGGCGCCATGGCTCACTAGGCTAATCCTCCGCCTAGCGGCGCCGGCACACCGGGTTCTAGTCCCGGTCGGGGCGCCGGATTCTGTCCCGGTTGCCCCTCTTCCAGGCCAGCCCTCTGCTGTGGCCAGGGAGTGCAGTGGAGGATGGCCCAAGAGCTTGGGCCCTGCACCCCATGGGAGACCAGGAAAAGCACCTGGCTCCTGGCTCCTGGCTCCTGCCATCGGATCAGCGTGGTGCGCCGGCTGCAGCGCACCGGCCGCGGCGGCCATTGGAGGGTGAACCAACGGCAAAGGAAGACCTTTCTCTCTGTCTCTCTATCTCACTGTCCACTCTGCCTGTCAAAAAAAAAATATATATATATATAGGTTGGGGGTCCAGTGCTGTGGCTCACTTGCTTAATCCTCTGCCTGCGGCGCCAGCATCCCGTATATCGGTGCCAGGGTCTAGTCCTGGTTGCTCCTCTTCCAGTCTAGCTCTCTGCTGTGGCCCGGGAGGGCAGTAGAGGATGGCCCAAGTCCCTGGGCCCTGCACCCGCATGGGAGACGAGGAGAAGCACCTGGCTCCTGGCTTTGGATCGGCACTGCACCGGCCGTGGTAGCCATTAGGGGAGTGAACCAGCAGAAGGAAGACCTTTCTGTCTCTGTCTCTCACTGTCTGTAACTCCACCTGTCAAATAAATAGTAAAAAAAAATAGGTTGACAGATTTTGAAGGTGCTACATGTTAATTTCACCCATGTACATACTAAAACTGTCCTTCTAAGCCTGCTTATCTTAGGAACTAATGAGAAAAAGCTGTCACCTTTTATATTGTGGTTGTGGCCGCTCAGTAGCCAGCTGCTAAAATATGGGGATATAGCAGACAGGTCAGAGATTGGGCTTTACATTTGTTCCTTTTTTTTTTTAACGATTTATTTATTTATTTGAAAGGGAAAGTTACAGAGAGGCAAAGGCAGAGAGAGAGGTCTTCCATCTGCTGGTTCACTCCCCAGGAGCTTCTTCTGGGTCTCCCATGCAGGTAGGTGCAGGGCCCCTAGGACCTGGCCATCTTCTGCTTTCCCAGGCCATAGCAGAGAGCTGGATCAGTGAACTCAAATCAGCGCTCATGTGGGATGCCGGCACTGCAGGCAGCGGCTTTCCCTGCTATGCCATAGCGCCAGCCCCTACGTTTGTTCCTGAATTGTTCTGGAATCAGTTCCGCTACTTGAGGGGAAGGGAGACAGGGACCATGATTTCCTTTAATTTTGGCCGTCGCCCTTCACTCGTAACCTTGTTGCCCCATTGTTGGTCAAGGGCTCTGCATTTCTGTGACACGTCTTCACCTCTGTCGTGAGCAGCTCTGTAACTGAGTTGGAAAATGAGCATTTTTTACACAAGTACACCTGTAAGTGGCTAATTGTTGCAGGGAGGCAGAGGAGCACTCTGTGCTCACAGAACTGTCCCGTTCCCTGCAAGGATACTGGTAGCAGATCGAGTGTAACTTTGCCTGCGTCATGGGTAGTGTTGACTGGAAATCTTACAGAACAGGAGAAAGGGATTGGGAAGATTTGGCGCAGGAAAATAAAGCCTTTTTTCTTTTTATTGAGAGTTTTGGGTTCTATTCATCTGCTTCATCCCGTTACCCTTTACCTGTTTATCCTGTGGGTTTTAGCTCCTTATTTTCTTTTGCCCACAAAAATAATTGCCTGGACTCTTTAGCTTATTTTTACTTTTGCTGTAACTATAATGCACACACCCCATTGGATCTGAGAAGTTGTCCTCTAACGTCATGATGACAATTGTATTAATTCATGATATTAATCTGACAAATATTCCAGTTGGTGTTAGGTTTTAGGTCTCTTGCACTTTTAGAATCAACACCCCAAAGTTGGAACACTTCATATAGCGTGATTTTTAGTCTGCACAAATAGTGATTGTAATCCCTTTGGAGATGGAAAGACCTGATGAAGCCTTCTCAGGGGTTTCCCTGTCGAGTCAGGATCAGGAAGAGGGGTGTATGGTAGGGGCACTCACAAGCTATACAGTCGTCTACATTTATGCCTTCATTATCTCCTCAGTCTTGCCGGCTCCAGATCTAATTTGTCAGAACGTGGTTTTGTGGAGTGGACTCTAGAAACTATGAATCAGTCAGAGTTATGATCTACCGATATCTATTGCCCGTGTGCACATTTACAGGGGAACTCAAATTAGCCTTCGAAGATTGCTTGGTGAACAAGAAAATCGACAGGAGGCTGTAGCTGGGTGATCTGAATCACTCGCTAATCCAGCCCTGCTGCATCAGGCCTCAGTGCGGCTCTCCCTGTTGAAAGACTGTTTAATGGACCCAAATACCCCTTCTGTGAATAGTGCTAGAGATAATGCCAATATTTGCTTTGTTCGCCTTTCCCCTAAATGCCTGCCATATTCCCAGTGTCTGCCATAAAGAATGCTTTATATCTTTCGCTGCTTAAAGTGCCACTTAAGTATTTGACGGGGCACCTTGTTGAACGATGTTCCTGCTGGGACAGAAGTCATAATGATAGAAATGGGGTTGATGGTGGTCAGGACGGTGCTGCCAAGCTCGCCTGTGTGGCAGCGTGTGGAGTGATCGCATCTGAGTGGTCCACTGGGGACCTGGGTTTCTCCCCCTGCTGCGGCAGTGACTGAAGGGATCGATCTCATCTCCCACATAAATTACTTGGAAGCTCTGGGTCAGGATCTGAGTCTGCAGGCCTCGAGTGCTAGACTTCACACTGATTTTTTTCAGACCATGAAGGTTTTTGAGCATGGAATTAACATAACCAAAATGGAATTTCAGGTTAATCTAGTAGCAGGGTATAAAATGGATTAGAGAAAGAACACTAAAACCTGGTAGATGTTAGGATATTGCATTAGTGAAATGATATGGTTAACTTGGGTAATAGAAATCAGAATGAGACTGAGAAGATGGATCAAAAAATTATTATCACAGAGGCAGACTCAATAGAATTTGACAGCAGATGTAGGGTAGCCCCTGAGTAGAAAGTCAAAGGTTGTGCCACAGGGCCTGGGTGGCCAGGATTCCTCTGAGAAGAGTGGAGTAATTGGTAGAAATAAGTAGTAGAGTAGAACAACAGGTTTAGAAGTTAATTATTTCTGTTTGGGGCATATTGAGATTAGTACCTAGGATGCATTTTAAAACATAAAAGGATACTTGGGACTGGTGTTGTGGCATAGTTGGTTAAGTGCCAGATCAAGTCCCAGCTGTTCCATTTCTGATCCAGTTTCCTGATAATGTACCTGGGAGGGCAGCAGAAGATGGCCCAAGTGCTTGAGCCCCTGTCACCCACATGGGAGACCCACATGGAGTACTGGGCTGCTGGTTTCAGCCTGGCCCAGCCCCCGCTATTGCAGACATTTTTCTCTCCCTCCCTCCTTCTCTTTCCGTCTCTCCCCCCCTCCCTCCCTCCTCCCCTTCTCTCTCTGACTTTCCAATAAATCTTTTTTTTTTAAAAAAAAAAAAGCTACTTGGCCATGTAACACTAAATGTGCAATGAGGGAGAGGTTGTTTCCCAAGAGATACGGTGCAAGGGGGATTACCTTACCTTGGTAAGCCTTATGAACTCTTGTGACCTGGGTACAGCCATCTTTCACTGTCAAGCTCATGGGACTGGTTATAAGACCAAGAAAATTTATTTGTTTATAGTGAAGAATGACTAATGTAGAAATCGCAATATGTGTGTTGGGGGGATTTTTTTTTCCTGTGTATGGAATAAACTTTTCTTTATATCATGTCTCACAATTTTCTGTTAAAAACTCAGTATTTTAACGAATGCAATGAGGAAACTCAGGCATGATCGCCACAGTAGGCATTTGTTGGACTAAATTACACTTCTAGACTGTGTGTTGGATCTTTTTCCTTTGGTGCCTATCCCTTTTCTGTTTCTGTGCCTCTCATTCATTCTCATTTTTTAAGGTATATTTACTTTAAATACTTTCAGATCACAGTTAAGTTGTTTTTTGTTTTGTTTTGTTTTGTTTTGTGTGTGTGTGTGTGTTTTAGGATTTATTTATTTATTTGAAAGAGTTGCAGAGAGGCAGAAAGAGGTCAGTCTTCCATCTGCTTGTTCCCTTGTTCCCTCCCCAGATGGCCACAAAGGCTGGAGCTGGGCCAGTCAGGAGCCAGGAGCTTCTTCAGGTCTCCCACACAGATGCAGGGGCCCAAGGACTTGGGCATCTTCCACTGCTCTCCCAGGCCACAGCAGAGAGCTGGATCAGAAGTGGAGCAGCCGGGACGTGAAACGGCACCTATTTTGGATGCCTGCACTGCAGGTGGCAGCTTACCCACTGTGCCACAGTGCTGGCTCCCACAGTTAAGTCTGTCAGTTTGTTGTTGATTTCTTGGTTTATTTGAAAGGCACAGTCACAGAGAGGGAAGGAGAGGCAGGAAACAAAGACCTGTCCACTGGTTCACTCCCCAGTTGGCCACAACAGCCTGGGCTAGGCCAAGCTGAGTTCAGGAACTTCTTCTGGGTCTCCAACGTGGATTTAGGAACCCAAGACTTGGGCCATCCTCTGCTGCTCTCCCAAACACATTAGCAAGAAGCTAGATCGGAAGTGGAGTGGCCGGTGCTCAAACTAGTGCCCACATGGCTTAATGTTGGGCCCCAGGTGTTATATTTTTTAACTTACCATACAAATACCTAATCTAGCCAACATAAAATCTTTTCCCTTAGTGGTTTATAATTAACAGAGGTCATATTCCTGCAGTATACTGTGCTTACTTGGAAGTGCAGTCTTGACTTCCTGGAGAAAATTACTTCTAGAGATTTTAGTGGGGGGAATCGATGTTAGATTGTATTTGAAAAGCATATTTAATTTTTAAAAATATGAAGTGTAAAGTCCCAAGTTTCATGCAGTATATATGGGAGGCACTTGATCTGGTGGAGAAGAGAAGGATCTGGTTTTTTTTTTTTTTACAGGAAGAGTTAGAGACAGAGAGAAAGGTCTTCCTTTTTCCATTGGTTCACCCCCCAAGTGGCCGCTGTGGCCAGCACACTGCGCCAATCCGAAACCAGGAGCCAGATGTTTCCTCCTGGTCTCCCATATGGGTGCAGGGCCCAAGGAGCTGGGCCATCCCCCACTGGCTTCCCGGGCCACAGGAGAGAGCTGGACTGGAAGAGGAGCAACTGGGATAGAATCCGGCGGCCCAACCGGGAATAGAACCCGGGGTTCCAGCACCGCAGGCGGAGGATTAGCCTAGTGAGCCGTGGCGCCGGTCAGGATCTGTGTTGTGTATACAACTATCCTAAAACACTAAACAGTCCTCTGAGTGGCCGGCGCTGTGGCATAGTGGGTTAAGCTGCCACTTGGAGTGCTGGCATCTCTGTGGGCACAGTTCGAGT